ATTGAGATTTTCTTTTCACATATTATTCTTTATTAAGTGAACTGTGATCTTTTCTGGGGCTCTCTATTTAAATAAGAATGAGTTTCACATAGATTCTGTAATATTTATTTTTTACTTCATCCTAAGGCTTTTAAAGAATATTGCATAATGTTTAAGAATGCCTGAAATAAGTCTTTGATTAACCAGATGCATTAGATGTAATGGGGATATATGTAAGACTCTGTTCCCTAAAGATCAAGAAATAGGTCCCAATCAAGTCACCACACAGAAGAAGTAATAGAGATACGTGTCATTGGTTATCATAAAAGAACAAGTGATCTCTTAATTAAACATATCCATGCATCATTTATTATCTTGAAAGCTCATTTGTTAAAATTCTCTAAAATAACTTGATATTTCATATAACAGAGCTTTTAAAAATTGAATGTTGGGGAAAATATTTAGTGTAGTGTCAAAGAAACAAGTTAAAGTGACATTTTTCTCTTCCACATCTTAAAAGAAATGTTTTTTGACTTTTTCTATTTTTAATTTTTATATTTATTAAGATGTTCAAGAGATATACTATGTACAATCAAATAATTATTTGTAGTATATGTTTTAGTTGTACATTTGATCCTCCTATATCACATGCCATGCACATGCATCATTGCAAACAATTCCTGGTTTGTTAGTGAAACACTTGTGGTCCGACACGTAGCATGCTTCTTGTTCCATAATGTGACTATATTTGCAAATATGATATTCTTGAAACAATTATAAGTATTCACTTATTTTTTTCAGTTGAGGTTGTTGACAACTTTGAACTGAGTCATATAATTCCCTTCCTATGACATTTGTGACTAATAAACATTAGAAAATAGTAAATTTGTATTGTGATAGCCTCATTTAGTCACATAGTGAGTAGACATTAAATCCATAAAACTTACAAGTCTTTAAAATATTTTGATTTATGTCAAGAGGTAATTGTTTCTTCTTATCAAATATGATTTCAATATCAGATATTATAAATAAATATCATTTCAGGCTATCTGGGGAGGGTTCATTTTCTTCGCATGTGTTAGCTACTGGCATTATACATTTTAACACAGATTTCCCAGTGACCTCTTGTTGGTAAGATTAGATGTCTGTGTTCTCTTGACATTTTATCTTTTATTGTTTTTGCTAATGTATTTAATAAAATGAATGTATTATTTCTAAGAAATTTTAAAACAGCTATTTTTGTGCCTTGCATAATTTGATATTGCCACTTATGTTCTAAAGATTTATTTCTTTGAAAATAAATGTTTATAACTTTAGAAAATATATTGTTTAGTGTATGAAGTAAAATTAAAGTCTAGACATTTGACTCTTAGCTTAGCATTTAGGTTTTGAATCTACTTCTTAACTGAAAAATTAAATATTTCCATTGTTTCTGATTTCTTAAAAGTATGTTACTCTTTTTGACTAAATTCATCTGCTAACATTATTTCCACTGGACGAAAAATTGGATGTAATTGAAGTCCAAAATGCTATTGACATTTATTTATACAGTTATTTCTACTTAGTAATTATTACAACAACCACATATTCTTTAATATATATTAGGATTCTATTAATCAAGTATTTAGTGACAAACATTATAACACTATTCAGTGTTAAAACCATACCCTTGGTGTATTTTGTCAGTTAAAATTTATGGGATTTTTTCAATTAAATAAAATTTTATGAAATTCTTTATAACTATAGAATTGCATAGTTAATATTCAGAGCATATTTGAGCAGGATTAAAAAAAAACATGAATAAACTCAAGTATATACAGTCAAATGATTTTTGACAAAGGTGCCAAGAACAAATAATAGGATAAGATAGTCTATTGAATAAATGGTGTGAGAATAACTGGCTATCTACACACAAAAAATTTAAATTCAACCCTATCTCATACCTTATGTAAAAATCAACTTAAAATGGATAAAAGACTTAAATGTAAGGTTTAAAACTGTAAAGGCACTAGGGAAATACATAGGGAAAAGCTCCAGAACATTAGTCTGGGGAATGATTTTTCAGATAGGACTCTGAAAGCACTAACAACAAAAGCAAAAATAGACAAATGTGATTGCATCAAACTAAAAAGCTTCTGAACAGCAAATTAAACAATTAACAAAGTAAAGAGACAAGCTATGAATTAGGAGAAAATATTTTTAAACCATACATCTGATAAAAGACTAATATCCAAAATATATAAAGAATTCAAACAACTCAATAGTAAGGAAACAAGTACCCTGATTAAAAATGGTCAAAGGATCTGAACAGACACTTCTCAATTAACTTCTCAAAAGAAGAGATAAAAATGGCCAACAGATATTTGAAAAAATTTTTCAACATCTCTAATCATCAGGGACATGCAAATTAAAATGAAAATGAGATGTTCATTTTATACTTGCTAAGGCGGCTGTTATCAAAAAAACAAATGGTAGCAAGCATTGGTGAGGATGTGGAGAAAGGGAATCCCTGCATACTATTGATGGGAATGTAAATTAATACAATCATTTTGAAAAATAGCATGCTGGTTCTTCAAAAAAAGAAAAGTAGAATTATTATATGATCTAGCAATGTGAACTCGCAGTATATATCCAAAGGGATTGAAATCAGTATGTTGAAGAGATATATGCACTCTCAATTTTCATTTCATTATTATTCACAATAGTCAAGATATGGAACTAATTTAAGTGTTCATCATCAAATAAATGAATAAAGAAAATATGGTATATATACAGAATACTCCATAGCCTTAACAAAAAGAAGGAAATTCTGTCATTTGTAGCAATATGGATGGAACTGGAGAACATTATTCTAAGTGAAATAAGCTGGTTACAGAAAGACAATTACTGTATGATCTCATGTATATGTTAAATCTAAAAATGTTTCTATTGTAATCACAGTCAAGAATGGTTACCAGAATCTGGGGCAGAAGTGGAGGAATATGAAAAGGACAGACATTGATTAAACGGTACAGTGTTTCAATTAGGCTGGAAGAATAAGTTTTAGTGATCTATTGTACTGTATTGTGACTACAATTAATGTATTGCATATTTTGAATTGGCTAAAATAAATTTTTAATGTTTTCACCACAAAACAAAATTGGGGAGGAGATTATAAAAAAAAAGAAACTGACTGGAATGAAAAAATAAATATGATAGTTTAAGAATGATCTGTTGTAATTAATTGGTATCATAACTAATTAATTAGTCATATGAATATAATTGTCTACCTTTTAAAGAAACATGCTGAAACACTAAGGTGTAATTAGACTTCGGAGGTGTGTCTTGGATTATTTTCTTAAGAATGTAAACAAAGGTGATGGGATTTATATTTGCTCTGACTCTTGGATATTTAGTTTCTATACAGGATGGGTGGAAGGTCCTTCTAATGTGTTAAATGAAGTTTTCTACTAACAGTAAGAATCAATGATATACCCCATTTTATTAATCCACACAAAACATAATGGTGAAGTAGCACCTGTTTTATTATTCTGGATAGAGAATTTCCCCAAACCAATAATGCTCTAATTACAAGAAGTTCTCCATTTCTAGAACTTGAGCATGAATGAAAAGAAAATATAGTCCAGCAACATATTTCCTGATTCTAATGACTGTGAGTTCATAGTTGAACAACATTTTTTTTAAAAAAGCAAAGATTTTTAAGTATACAATTTAATTAGCTCACCATGGTTTAGGAAACTAAGATCTATAAATTTTCATTCAGCGATTCATCTTAGTATAGGCTATTTCTGAATGATATATTTTCTTCTCTTTTATTGCCTGTTCATAATAATTGAATAAAAATCAAAACAATTGTATTATATAAAAATGTCCTTAATTGAGGGTCATATGCTTTTTATTGCAACCACCTTTGGTTGGTTGGTTGTTATTATTATTGGTTATTTTTTAGTTCTTTTTTTGGGGTTTTTAGTTTTTTGCATTGGTTAGCTCATTAGGTAAGCTAATGAAGCATAGGAAGTAGGTTCTTTTATTATCTATATTTTATAGATGAGGAACCTGCGATAGTAGAGGTTAGAGTAATTTAACCAAGGTCACACAGCTATTAAGCTATGGAGCTGGTGGTTTAATGCAAGCAATATGTTTCCAAACCTTGAACCTATTGAAGAGGATTATTCTGCCCCTGGACTATGCTCCATTGTCTTTCATACACATATATTTGACACAGGACTATTATTACTCAAAGGAAATTAAAACAAACTTAAAAGTGAATTTACATTCCTATTTTCATTCTTTAGAAGTATTTTTGATGAACAGTAAAGACATTACTAATAAATATGCATTATTTTTATTGCATATATCATGCCTCATTTTTTCATTCTCCAATATTTTATGATCCAGTATGATCTTATGATCTTAAGCTATAAGAGTATAACTAAAGTGAAAATCATAGCAGTTGTTTAAATGCTTTTCCTATCAATAAAATGATTGACTACTTATATCTTTATGCATTCCAGCACAATCAAAAGTGAATTACTTAACTTTTCCAATGCTCAATATCCCAAGAAATTGATAGAATCTTTGGTTGCTTTATTCCTTACATTTCCCTTGAGGTATTTTCTGTTTAGTAAAGCAGATTCATGATTCAATTAAATGTAATCAATTTTTCAAATTTGGAAGTTTCTTCTTTAGTTTTTGTCAATCAACAGAATATTAGTGAATGGGCATGTTTATATATTCAAGTGTGAATGATACATTTAATTATTCATTAGATCATTTTGCTTATTTTGTAGACTAGTATTAAAATACCTGTTTTTAAAATATTTATTCTAAACTTTATATAAAGGGCTCAAGGAATGGGGAATTTAAAGTGTTAACAATTTGTATCTTTCTTAATTGAATTAATATTTATCAAGTGTCACATGCTGACTACAAGACCCAAATCATCCATGCTTTTGTGGAAAATGGAATGGGAAGAAAAGGCATATCTAAATCAAATAGTTACCAGAAGTTTTCTGTTACAATAGAATTAACTTCTCTCCAGAGAAAAAGCATTCAGCTATGAGAGCATCAGTAGGGATGATGTTGCCGAGGAAGTCATGGAAGACTACTTGGAAGAACTATAACCTACAGGATATGTTGATTTATATAAAGCCGTCAGAGGAGAGCAGTCCAATTACAATGGAGAGGAACTTGTCACATTACAGGTAATAAATATAATTTTGAAATGAAAAGGGATGCACATGAATAATGTAAAATAGAAGAAAATGACTAAGGTAAACCATGTGATCATTTTACTTTCTGTTATGTTTTTTACAAAGCAATAGGCATTATTGAAAAATTATAAATTGTGTAGTGACATAATCAGAATTGTATTGCTGAAAGAGAAATCTGATGGCTGGCGAATAATAATTTTAGAAGTGTTAAGAATGACTGCATGGAAATAAAAGATATTCATCATGTAGAATGCAAGTCCATCATCACCACTTTTTTAATTGATATCCTTTAATTGAAATTTTAACAAATCCAGCAAAGTGGCAAAGTAATATTTAAAAAAAATCCTAACTTTGCATCAGCACATTTTTCAAATGGTTAGTTTCCTCTGCATGCTAGAGTATTTAAAAATGTATTTCATATATATGTTATACAAGATAATCTAGGAAAAAAATAGGCTGTTGAGTATACTTTCCAGAAATTAATACATCAGAAGTGATTGTAACATTTTATTTTTAAATTTATAATAAATAATTTTAGCCTAATATGCACTTTAAATTAATAATATGTTTTGGAAACAAAATGAAGTGTCCTTAGGATAGCAATTTCCATGCAAAACTACATTGTTCCTCACTGATCTACTTATTCTGGTAGCAGAAACAATATTAGATCAATTTCATTTTTGAGCTATTCTTGACTATTCTTCCTCTGGGGAGAATTAATCAAATCTTCATACCCTTATTATGTATTATATGGATAACTATACTATATTATTTTGATACATTAAAATAATATCTCTCTATAAATCATAAGCCTACTGAGAGCAGGAATTATACTCTAATTCAATTTGCCCAACACACAACTTTTTATATAGCAGATATTGGGTATAGGATGATAGAAAAATATAATACAGTAATCAGGAACTCACAAGAGACAAGTTTTGTATTAATCTGTACACTGTGGCAGCTGAAATTACATGAATGGAGAGAAAATCACAAAGTAGACGGTCTGAAACTAGAAGGAAGTTATAGGATTATAACTTTGAGGAAGATCAGATAGTAAGATGGAGGCAGTTAGGGAAAGGAAATATGATTTAAATAAATAAAAGTGAGTAGCTAACAGTATAGATTAAAAAAAAAAAGAAAAAACTATAATCAAAGATGTTAAAGGAATTAAAAATAAAGTTGTCAAAAGATTTCCATAAAGTGAAGAACTACAAAAAGGGCAAGGCATAAAAGCTAAGGACCTAAATTCATCTATTGATTTTGACAACATGAAGGATGCTGCTATATTAACAACTATCAGTAGAGTGGTGGAAGAGTGATATTAGATTGAATCGAATTGAGTAGTGGATATAGAGAGATAAGAAAATAAAGAGGTGAAATAGGAAACAGCAGTGTTTTAAAAACTGTATCTATATTTTATTTTGTTTTGTTTTTTGAGGTATGTACATTTATGTCTTATGTAAGTTTTAATTGTCATTTAGAAAGGATATTTGGGCATGTTTATAATTTGAGACAAAAATAGAGGGATGACTGAGGGAGAGGTTTTAAGAAGACTTGGTGTATTAATAAATCAAGTAATAATTTTCAAATATCAGGAGATATTCCAAATCTCCTATTATTAATTTCTCCTTTAATTCAGTTATGGTCTATAAACAAACTTACATAGCAAATTTATATTCTTTTACAGTTGCTATGGTTTGTTTTATGGTCCGAAATATGTCTATGTTGGTGAAATTTCCTTTTCCATTTGAAAAGAAAGCATAGTCTACTGTAGTTGATTAGAGTGTTCCATAAATGTCATAGAAGTTAAGTTGGTAAATAGTGATATTTATATATTTTACTTCCTTAATATTTTGTTAACTTATTCTGTTTATTACTGAGTGAGGCATGTGTAATTCTATAACCATAGTTGTCATTTTGTATTTTTTTCCTCTAAGATCAGTTAGTTTTTCCTTTGTGTATTTTGAAGCTCACTTAAATGTCTGCATATTTAAGATTACTATATATTCTTGGGGAAATTACCACTTCATCATTATGGAATTTCCCTTTTTACCCCCAATAATATTCCTTTTCTACAGTCTACTTTATCTGATGTTAATTTTATTACTTTAACTTTATTTTAATTAGTCTTTGCATGGTATAGATTTTTATTATTTTTACTTATCTGGCTATTTATTTCTATCTGTCATCTATGTATTATCATTATCTTTATATTTAGATTTGGTTTACTCATAGACATCATAAAAAAACTCTTGTTTTTTAATCCTATTTGACAGACTCTTTTAATTAGGTTTAGAGATTTTGTGAAATAGAAAAAAGACAAAAAAGAAAAAATACATTCATTATAATTATTAATATAGTTGCCTTAAAACTCTTATAGATATTTTTCTACAAAAAGAATTTATGAAGAAGACCCCAAAGACAATCACAGCAAAAAAATGTAAATCAGTGATACTTGATTAAATTAAAAAGCTTCTGTACAGCCAAGGAAAATATCACTAGAGCAAAAAGACAGCCGCCAAATGGGAGAAAACATTTGCATGCTATACATCTGATAAAATGCTAATAACCAGAATCTACAAAGAACTCAAGCAAATCAGCAAGAAAACATGAAACAACCCCATTGAAAAGTGAGCACAATACATGAACAGAAACTTTTCAAAAGAAGATAAACTAATGCCCAATAAACACATGAAAAAAATACTCAGTGTCTCAAAACATCAAGGAAATGCAAATAAAAAGCACAATGAGATATTACCTAGTTCCAGTGAGAATAGCTTTTGTCAAAAAGTCCCAAAATAACATATTCTGGTGTGGATGCACAGAGAAAGGAACATTTATACACTGTTGGTGGGTCTGCAAACTAGTTCAATGGCAAGTAATACAAAAACATCTCAAGTAAAAGTATAAAAAAATCTTCATTAGAAGTAATCAATAGAACAGAAGAGGAGAAGAATTAGAGAGGGGTAGCAGGTAATCATGTTTTCTTCGTTTTTTTTGCTTTTGAAATGAAGAACCCAAAACATGAGGCACGGTCTGCTTGCTTATTAGTATGTTGGTTGATTTTAAGATGGGAGAAATACCAGCATGTGCATATACTGGAGAATATGATCCATCAAAGGGACAAAAATTGATACTAGGAAGGAGAAAATTACAGAAGGCTTGCCTTTACATGAGCAACACGAGGTGGGAGTTAGTGCACAAAAGAAGAAAAGCTTTTCACAAGGAGCATGGAAAGAGCATCTATACTAACAGTGGGAAATGGTAAGTATGAAGGTGCCACTAGAGAAACTGAGGTATTAATGAGTGATGAACAAAATTAAAGAAAGATAAGATATGATGTTAAAAGGATTCTCTATGTGCATATTAAAATTGTCCAAATTTAAGAGTTTAGAATGAGAGAGAGTGAAAAAACAACCCACAGAGGGGGAGAAATTTTTCACAAGCTACACATCCGATAAAGGGCTAATAACTAGAATTTATTTAGAACTCAGGAAAATCAGCAAGGAAAAATAAAACAACCCTATCAAAAAGTGGGCAAAGGACATGAACAGAAACTTTTCAAAAGAAGACAGAATAATGGACAACAAACATATGAAAAAATGCTTAACATCTCTAATCATCAGGGAAATGAAAATCAAAACTGCAATGAGATACCACTTATCTCCAGTAAGAATGCCCTTTATCAAAAAGTCCCCAAACAATAAATGTTGGTGTGGATGCGGAGAGATAGGAACACTCCTACACTGCTGGTGGGCCTGCAAACTTGTTCAACCTATGTGGAAAGCAATATGGAGATACCTCAAAGTGATACAAGTAGATCTACCATTTGATCCAGCATTTCCACTACTGGGCTTCTACCCAAAAGATCAAAAGTCACTTTATGAAAAAAGACACCTGCACTAGAATGTTTATATCAGCACAATTAATAATTGCAATGCTATGGAAACAACCCAAGTGCCCATCAATTCATGAGTGGATTTATAAAATGTGGTATATGTATACCATGGAGTACTATTCAGCTTTAAGAAACAATGGTGATCTAGCACTTCTTGTTTTTCCTGGATAGAGCTGGAACCCATTCTACTAAGTGAAGTATCTCAAGAATGGAAAAAGCAACACCACATGTACTCACCAGCAAATTGATATTAACGGATCAACACCTAAGTGGACATATAGGAATAACATTTATCGGGTGTCGGACAGGTTGGACGGGGGTGGTGGGAGTGGGTATATACAAACATAATGAGTGAGATGTGCAACATTTGGGGGATGGTCATGCTTGAAGCTCTTACTTGAGGGGGGAGAGGGGCATGGGCAATATATGTAACCTTAACATTTGTATCCCTATAATATGCTGAAATAAAAAAAATAGTAAAGGGAATAAAAAAATGAACCATGATCTGAAATACTTTAGAAATGAGAGGAAATGACTCAACATCAGAGAATTATAAAATTAATGAGGAATAGAGGAAATACGAAAAGGATTGGGAGATAGCATTATCAAGGAGACAAACAGGATGGTTCAGCATATGCAATCAATGAATCTTTTTCATTACAAAGGGGCTGAGCAGTTGTCTTTAATATGCCAGGGATTGAGATAGATGCAAGAGAAAGAAAAGGTCTCCCTTAAGTTATAATACATTGTGACTGACACTATTTTAAGAGCAAAAATCTGGAATGTTTTAATTTCAGTAAAAGTTTTGTCATAATGCAAAGTGCATTTCAAAGGTTATAGTGGGATGGCTTCAAAATAATAGGCGAGTAGCTAGATGCTACTCGCCTATTGTTGGGGAAGGGCAAAGTGGTATAGATAGAACAATATGGTAAGGGCACATAACAACAAAACAGGCTTGTGTTGGGTACAGTCTAGAGTTAAGAAGAACTGAAGAACTGGAATATTAATAGCTTCACATTTTCAATCTTATAATGGCAGCAATAATGGCAGCAGCAGGGTGGGGTGAAACACCACATGCTGACTGAGTGCC